CTCGGTCAGGGCCTCGGTCAGGGCTTCTGTTTGACTTCATGCTCTGATTTGAGCCCAGTTTGCGGTCATGGTCACACTCCCCATTAGCGTCCCTGTTCACCGCGGCGACTTGGGCTGGGACCGGGGGCTGCGACCCCGGTCCGTGGCCTGACCTCTGCCGGGGCTCCCGCCGGGGCTCCTGTTCCCACCTGAGTCCTGAAGTGAGCGCCTGGTCGAGCTCGGGCTCGGGCTGGGGCTCGGGCTCGGGCTCGGGCCGGAGGCCATCTCCTGCGGCCGCGATCCCAGCCCCGCTTCTGGGTCGCTTGTTACGCGGACTCCCACCATCGCGCAGACCGCTGTTGTCCGCCGTCCGTCGAGAACGCCGGACTGAGCGACGTCCAGCCGCCCGGCCCTCTCGTCTGTTTTGATGCTGCTCAGTGGCCCACGCAGCGCCGGGTGACGGCCGAGTCACGCGCCAGCGCAGCGCCGTCACGCGCACGGATCGCTGGACCGACCTGCCGGCTGCGCAGGAGTCACGGCATCAAGTGCTCACGTGAGCTCCGGGGTCGGCCATCACTCAACGAAGACCAACGAAGTGAAAACGCTTGATCGGTCTGCGCTTCAAGAGCAAACATCAGCAGCTCACAAGCTTGGACATGCTGCTCTGCAGAAGTCAGCTGCCAGCATACCTCTGCCTCCCGGCTTCTCCATCACAAGCTCTTGCTGCTGACTTGGTCGCGTTCACACACCCCACAGTCTCCAGCACCTCCTGCACGGGCGCGCGCCCCTGTCCAGCAGCGTCACCGTCACACAGCGCAGTGCACAGCGCTGCAGCGCGGCTAGCGCAGCACGCGCTGCCGGGCGTCTGCTGGGCCGGCCGCGGTGGTGCGCGTCTCGGTGCGACGGTCAGGGGGCTGGCCGCCGACGGGCTGTGGAGCACGCGCCGCCCCGTCGGACCCAGACTGGCGCCGGCCAGGCCGACGGCCGGCGGTCGGCTGGCCGTGACACACCGGACCGGCAGCGCGACAGCGACATCGGGCTGCGGCACAGCGGTACAGGGCAGAGGGTAGTGGGTAAGTAGCGACACCGGGTAGTGGAACAGCGTCACAGGGCAGAGGGAACAGCGACACAGGGCAGAGGAACAGCGACACCGGGCAGTGGAGTAGCGATACCGGGCGTAAGAAGAGGGACACCGGATAGCAACGCAAGAGACATAAGCGGTGACACAGAAAACTGCATAAATATATATATATATATATATATATATATATATATTATATATGTATATATATATATATATATATATATACTATATATATATATATATGTATGTATTGCAGGTTTTCGGATGAATCATATCATGCATTCCTCTCTTAGTTTACGTTAAAACAATAGCTGTTGGCACTGACGCCAGCGTGAGCTTGGACGGGCTCGGTGCACGGACCAAAGACAGCACCTGGGAACCGTGACCAGTGCTCCTAGCCAAAAGCGAAGCTCTGCCCGAGAACTTCGGAGTGTTAATAGTTTTGCGGAGTTCATTCTCACCAGGCCACGCCATGGACCTGACGGCTATCTTATGCACTGCTGGAGATGAAACAACATGCCACGGCAACACCGCAGCTCGGTCCACGCTCCGGGTAGCGGCACATGTGGACGGATTCCCGCCGCACACCGCATGCCGGTATCGCTGGAGCAGAGGGATGGGTCTCCTTGACGAGGAGCCATTCCAGCATGACAGCGGTATCTTTCGCCGTTTCTATTTATTTATTGCAAGCGTGGTGTTTGCGGCTGGTATTCCTTTTGCCTTTTTCATTTATTCAGATCTCGTCAGTGTCGTGGGTTACCAGGCTTCCTGCCATTCCGTGGAACGCATTAGCTATACCTTTCCAACCTCACCTAGTTATTCATGGGCTGTGAAGAAGTCATGCGAGCCCCCTGTCCCAAATGCAGCTGTGTGTTGGTCCAGTACCGCCGAACATTGGACCATGGGCTTGTGTTATCACTAGACCAACATGAGCCGGTGCGGTGTTGTCGTCCACGTAAATAAGGTCAGGGATTCTGTAATCTAGCGCATAGTATGTGCGCTGCCAGCAGGCTTGCCATCTGACGTGTATACGAGCGCCGGCTGTCACATATGGCAGCTGATGTGGAAAAACATAACCCGACCCAATCACTCGCACAAGGTGAAAATATTTGCGATTCAGTCATATATAGCCAAGTGAGCCAGCGCGCCCGGGTGGCCGGCTGAATACCCTTCGCTCGAGTGGGTTATAAGTCAATTTGACCCCCGCCCCGAGATCTAAAAAAAAAATAGTTAGAAACATCAAATTAACATGGTGAGCCGGCTTGTATGCTAACTCGTATGAGTTAAAATTTCAGGTTTCTAGGTCACAACCTTCGGTCAAATAACGCCGTAAGTTTAACTTGAGTTCAGTGACCTTTTTGCCCTTCAGAAGGGCATAGTGAACAAATCCCTACAAGATTGTTTTGATTTTTGCACTTGAATAAGCGTCTAGTATTACGTCTGGCGGGACGTTTCTCAATCAAAATGTTGACCCGAATCATTTTAGACCACTCTGTCCTACTGAGATTGACTTGAACCTGACTACTGTCTCGTTTGAAAAGTCTGTAGATTACGTATGTTGCGGCTCCTGTCATTAATAGCTTCGAAATGAGCACCGGAAATCACCCCGCACAATAAACTCACGAGCAAAAACGGAGGTTCGTTTAGACATCAGTATGGCCTTCATACCTGATGTCAATAGTTCGTTATGGAGTTATCAAATAGGGTCAATAGAGTTTGTTTCAATCCTAAATTTCATTGCAGTGTCGCCTAACATACTATTTCAGAGAAGCATGGTCTCGTCTCGCGCTCCCCTGTCGCATGAAATTGAACGATTACTTAGATTGTTTTCACTGACAGCCACGGCCTCATTTTGGCCTGCCATAGGTCAGCAACCAAACATAGTATGTTTAGTTATTATATATCAATATATACGCTATTTAATGGCCTACAGCTATGCCAAATTTTGAGCGGCTACGCCGTGTCGCTTGAACATTATGCTGCAAAAACCGTCTGGGAGTCAAACTGATCCCACCCGGACTTGTGCAAACAGGTGTGCACCAAGCACACCCCGCAGCAGAAATTCAGAACAAGCTGCTTAATTCATTTTACTGTAATAAAACGGTGCTGAAAAAGTGGCAAGATCAACTGACATGTTGTGTCTCGATGTTTTCGTTCCACACGTAAAATCGGCGATGACCTTTGATGACCTCTAAGTCATGAAGTATGAATTGGATTCTGGCTGATCATGACTAAAATTTACGCTAAGTCAGTCGCATCGTAGCATAAAGTGTCCCCAACAATATGGAATGCGATGGAGAAGGGGAATGCGCGCTGCAGCCACCAAGATACCACCATACTCTGGGCACATCTGTGGAAATGCTCAAATATGCTCTTGCTTTGCTTGCATTGGGGTGAAGCATTAGGCAAATACAAATATTCAAAGTGAATGAAGCCGTCGACGCCAGCTGAAGGAATAAGCAGTGTTTAAGTTTATGACCAAACGTATGCGATTGATTATAACACTTTCTGCGAATGGCATTCGCTCAATGCCAGCCGTCAGTGTTCAGGCGATATGAGCATGTTTACAGTCCTCCGGGACGCTTTTCAGCAATTTAATGGTTTTGTAAAGTGTATTGCGCCAACCCTAGCGTAACTCCGTCCTGTCACGTCACTCCGTTCTTATGGTGCTCTGGCAGCTGGTTGGATGATGCTCATATGGTGCCGTTGTCCGGGGTGGATTAGAAACATATGGTATCATGGCTGCCGGTTAGATGATACTCATATATGGTGCCGTGACCGTGGATTTGATGATACTCATATATGATACCGTGATCGTGGATTGGATGATGCTCATTTATGGTACCGTGACCGTGGATTGGGTGATGCTCATATATGGTACCGTGACCGTGGATTGGATGTTACTCATATGATGCTGTAGTCGTCACTTGGATGCCTCTCATGCGGTCCTGTCGTCGCTGGTTGGATGCCTCTCATGCGGTCCTGTCGTCGCTGGCTGGATGCCTCTCATGCGGTCCTGTCGTCGCTGGTTGGATGCCTCTCGTGCGGTCCTGTCGTCGCTGGTGGATGCCTCTCGTGCGGTCCTGTCGTCGCTGGTTGGATGCCACTCGTGCGGTCCTGTCGTCGCTGGTTGGATGCCACTCGTGCGGTCCTGTCGTCGCTGGTTGGATGCCACTCGTGCGGTCCTGTCGTCGCTGGTTGGATGCCACTCGTGCGGTCCTGTCGTCGCTGGTTGGATGCCACTCGTGCGGTCCTGTCGTCGCTGGTTGGATGCCACTCGTGCGGTCCTGTCGTCGCTGGTTGGATGCCACTCGTGTGGTCCTGTCGTCGCCTAATGGATGACTCTCATATGGTGCCGCGGTTGTGACTAGATAGCACTTATAAGGTGCCGTAGTCGCTGGTTAGATGCCACTCATATAGTGCTGTGATTGCTGGTTGGATGACGCTCATATGGTGCTGTGGTCGCTGGGTGAATGGCACGTGTATGGTGCTGTGGCCTCTGGGTGGATGACGCTTAGTTGTGCTGTGGTCGCTGGTTGGATACCACTCATATAGTGCCGTGGTAGCTAGGTGGATGCCACTCATATAGTGCCGTGGTCACTGGCTGGATGCCACTTATATGTTGCCGTGGTCGCTGGTTGGATGACATTCATGTGGTGCCGTGGTCGGTGGTTGGGTGCCACCCATATGGTGCCGTGGTCGCTGGTTGGGTGCCACTCATATGGTGCCGTGGTCGCTGGTTGGGTGCCACTCATATGGTGCCGTGGTCGCTGGTTGGGTGCCACTCATATGGTGCCGTGGTCGCTGGGTGGATGACAGTTCCGTTGTTGAGTATACGTCGCATCTCAGTTGGCAGCCGTCTGACGCACTGACCTGTTGCTGGCCGGGCGAGCTTGGTTGGGTTGAAAGCCGATGTCTCACAAGCACACCTGTCAGATAGCCTTGCTCGCAAACTGAGGTCCCAACAAGGATTGCGTAATGCTAAAAGTGACTTCACCCACTCGTTTTTATCAGCTTCCAGTCGGTTTCCACAAGTATAGGTAGGCTCGACTAACAGAAGCGCTGGCAAGAGCACGTAAGCACGGTAAAGGGCGTTCGTGGAAAGTGCTGGCTTCTTGATGTTTGTGGTTAGCCTCACTCACACCTTCTGGAGCGATTTCAGGGGTGGTCTGATTTCGTTAGGATGAAAGCATGTGATCGGACACCAGCGCGCTCCAACCGGCTGCTCGAAGTATACTAGCAAGTCGGTGAACTCAGCCGACAGGTTATAAGCTTTAAAACTAATGCAAGCGCCGGAGGACAGGATCACCGACGCATGCCATTTTAACTTGTTTCCAAATCAAAAAGGAGGTCAACAGCGACAGCAGATCCGTCTCCGGGCTGCCTCTCAGCATGTAACGCGGTAATGAATGCGCCATTGAAAAAGGTTTGCCGTGCATTTCTCAAGATGCAATCGCACGAAACACATGTATATGCGATCGTGACTGTGAAGAGTACCATCACAAGCCGTTGCTAGATGCCTGACATGCCAACATGCGACATAAATTATGCTTACTTAATGGCTACGGAAATGGCATGTGGATGAAAACTGCGGCTACAATACGTTGCGGACTGTGTTGTGTAGCGGAGGTGGATGCGTTGTTGGTGAGCTGCGGAAATCAGCGGCGCCAGGCTGGTGCGACGAGTCGCCACAGGCTGCGGACGTCATTGTGAACGGCTTCAGTACTAAGCGCCGGTGGTACACACGCGACGACCCCGTTTATTTGGATTACTTTCTGGGATGAGGCTATCCTGTAAACAAGGCGTCGGTAGCCAGGTGGGGACAGCCAGTCAGCCAGCTTGCCGGAGCAGGCCGACCACACACGTTCTGTCAGGCTGCCTCCGAACGCCTGAAGCATGCCGACCTCTGCAGCCAGGGACTTTCAAGCGCGAAAACGTGCCCACGTAGGCATTAAAGGGAATGGCTCTTCCTTTGAATACAATGAAGTATGCATCAGATATGACGGCATGAGCTCGTTTATATCTACTGGTATGTTTTAAGTGAAAAAGGCTGCTCTAAATAACATTTTCTGTTTTAAGTAAACATGCTCCTTAATGCGTTGTTTACTTACCACACCGTACCTCGCACAACATTGATTGAGAGACAGATGACGGCCGTTACATCTGGAAATCGTGCCAAAATGAACACAAATGAACACCAGATGAGAACGACTGCACAGCTGTATCTGTATTGGCTTTGATCGCCACATGGCAAATGGAATGACACTAACAGCCCGCGCAACTTCGCGGGCATTAGCTCAGAAGCTAGGGGGGGTTTAGGTCTTATGAAGGGCACGGCCGTGAACAGCACCGAATGATGTATAAGGTGTATAATGCGGTTCCAAAACAGAAGCCGCATCATACACCTTTCAAGCCCTTCTTAAAGGTCAGAATAGGACACCGACCAATAAAATGACCCAGGTCAATATTTTGTTTCTTGGGAACATACTGCCTAGCGTAGTCTTTGTCGCTTATTCAAATACAAAACTCAAAGCAGCCTCGTATGATTTTGAACACAATGATCTTCAAAAGGCAAAACAAATTCAAGGGGCCCTTTGGAGACTAGCCCGAAATTTGACCTTGTTTCATCTTATTCGACCTGAAGATCATAAACTTGGAACCTCAAACTTTGACGTGAGTTCACGTACAGGTCAACACACCCTGTGAATTCAGTGTGTTCAGCTCCCTTAGTTCCTGAGATCTCAGCGGGGCAAATTGACCCCTCCCACACCCGAGCGAAGGGTATCCAACCGGCCCCCGGACGCATGTTGAGGTGCCACGATGGCTAATTGTAAGTGTGGCTCATTTCTAAACAACTTAAAACTCACAGGTTTAAGTCCCCAGCGCACCGTTAAGCGGTGTTCGTCTGTCATATCTGGCTCACTGGTCGTATCCTAGGCGTGTTCCGAAAAGCAACAGTCAGAGATCATATGCAGCGCAGGCATCCCATGGGCTCCGTTAGGTTGTAAATCTAGACGCAGTATATCCGCGAATTCCCTGAAATATGTTTCTCACCGGTGATAACCAGCTGCCCGCAAGATCAATCAACGCTATTCAGTTCGGGCTAGCGCATGCCCTTGAAGGGCCACCACCGTTCCACTGCGTTACCCCTTATGGGGGAGGGCCATCGAAAAAATTGCGTTGCAGGTGATGGTGGGGTTGATGACGCGAAATTAAAGCGTAACAATAGGTGGTGTTTGGAGAGTTTGATGGAACGCTCAGGTTTAGTTGCAAATCATGCTAATCATTTTTGTTGCAAATCATAAGGAAGGCAGGAAGACACTGCCCGCCTTAACCTGTGCGTATCCAGGGACACGGGCTCAAAAATGGTCAAAAATGTGTATCGTAATTTGTGGACGGCCCGTATGGCAAAGTGTAGTCGATCCACCAAAACAAGCTTATTCTTGAAACGGACCGAGAAATCTGAATCTTAAAGCTACGTTTGAACCCCAACAAAGTCTGAACACCTGACATGTTGCTACTTTTGCGCCTGGTGTTTGGCTCAGCCTGTAACACTGCGAGCTGAAACGCTCCTGTAATGAAAGCACTATTATGTAGTGCTCGCCTGCTATAAGGTCCATGTGGAAGCCAAAGCTTTACGGAACTATTGCAGGGTAGCGAAAACTAAAAGCAAAAAAGATACCCAATGACACGGGGGACTTTACCTAATTTTGTAGACATTTCACTCCACAGGTATTGCTGTCGATAGACCTATCCCCTGTAAAGGGAGTAAGCTGCCGTTTTGCTCTTTTCAGTTATTGTCAGATCAGACGCGCATTATTTGATTAGCAAGACTAGTTTTCTCGAAATCCCTCTGAATAACTCAGAATTTCTATTGAAGTAACTGACCCTACAGGAGAAATCTCATTGGAGTCCCTGTTCACCACTATGAAAGCAATGGGCTTCATTTGCCTTGCTTTTTCTAGCGTATATATTCTGAAATATTTGTAAACATTGATTTGTCAAAATGCTCGTTTCATAAATGCTACAAAAGGTTGAAACACTCTGTTTAGACCAAAAAAAACGTATGTATACTGCTGTTTTTCCGCGAATTCAACGAAACATTACGTTATGGCGTTGATTTATCCCCTATGGCGTTTACCAGTGACTCTTTTCTATGCACACTTTGGCTTTGGGAATGAGAGCATCACATAAGCCGTAGTGACCCACCGTTTCAAACTTCAACCAATGCACTTATCAGTATCAGGCCCTTGTTACCTGCTGGGCCAATCTTTGCACCAATGCAGGTGCCACAACGGTTGTCATGACGACGGCGATCACGACTGCACGAAGTGTAGTGCTATCACAAAGCGTTAATAGCGTAATTTGGACTAACAAAAAAATTAAAACTGATATCCTCATGATACACTGACGGCGCTGCAGTGGCACTAGCTAGTGCTATCATTGGACGTAACTGGTTCTGTTTCATAGAGTATGTTTTTGAAATATGCCTCAGAGGTGGGGCACTCCCCTTAAGCTGAAATCGCACTGCGGTGCGACCTCCGGCGATAGGCGGTGCGTCGGTGCGACACTTCGCACCTGTGCGCTCGCTCGACTCCGACTCTAACTTGCCCGCTGGCTCCGCACAGCGGTCCGATTTTGATAGATCCTTCTAGTGAGGGCGTCGCAAACCCGCGGGCATTGGGGCTTGAGCTGCGCCTAAGACGGATATACGGTGCTGGCGCACACGGCGCACGCCCTGCGGCGCGTGGACGATGAGCTGCGCAGCACGCTGGCCATCATATCGGGAATGACAATTATTTATCTGCCGCGCGAAATTTGTTGCCCTTGCACTTGTGCTCCTGGGTATCGCCGTTTGGTGGCTCTGCATTGTTGCACTGCAGCACGCGCCACTCGCCTCTGCTCTTCCAGACTCATAAAATTTCGGAACAATTCCACAACGTTCTTGGATGTGGATTTAGCCAGGAGACGATCTTATAGCTCAACGATAACCAGGAGGCTCACTCTAAGAACCTCACCGCCTTGCACCGCAACCACGACCAGAGACAGCAGAGTTCACAGTGACATGTATTTCACCCATTGCAATGCTCGAATATATTGCATCAATCGCCCGCCCCATGCCATTTGGCGCCGGGCCGAAAAACGCCAGGACCAGCCTTGCGCCAGCTCCTGAGCAGGCCGGTGAGGGTCGCCCTGGCCGCCGAAGCCGACCGGAGCCGACCGGAGCCGGCCGGAGCCGGCCGGAGCCGGCATCCCTACTGCTCCCGGAACCGGCAGAAGCTGCGCGGCCACCAGCCGACAGCGGCGGCGGCGGACCACGCGTCAGACCGCATTACTCAGGCCGTCTCGCCGGCGCGGCACGGCCGGAGCCGACACGTTCAGCAGGCCACTCTGATCACCCGAGACGGGCCGACAGCGGCGGCGCCGGCAGCAGCGGCCGGGGCGGACACAGGCCACCAGCAGCTCCCGACCACCGCCGGACACGCCCTCAGGCTCAGCCCAGCGCGGCAGGGACGCCACCCGGGGCCGGCAGGGGACGCGCGCGACAGACGCCATCCGAGGGCGGCGACACCACGGCCGCGGCGCGCCGCTCGGCCGCGAGACCGGCCCGTCCTCGCCAGCGCGCTCGCAGGGAACGATCACCGGCACAACTTCCTGCCCATCATCAATCACGTCTTGAAACCGGCGTCCTGGCCAGATACAAAACGACGCCAAAAGGCGGAGACGCGTCCAGACCGGACACGACAGGCGAAGTAACGAGCGATCGGACCTTACCCGGCCTTTAGCGGCGCAGCGCGGCGTGTCTCCGCGGCCGCCTTGTCCTGACGCGATAGGCGTCACGCACCTATGCCCTGAACCTCGCGCAAGCCCGCCGGCACTATCCCGGCTTCGAGGCGAAGACGCCGACGCGGGACGCCGGTAAGTTTGGCGCGATCAGCCGATGCCGTCTGGCGCAGCAGACGGGGCGCGCGCTGCGCCTGGGTCAAGGCTGGCTGGCTGGACGCTCTGACATGGTGACGGGCCCACAGCGGATACAAGCAGGCAGGCGCGCAGGTCCCGCGGTCCCGCGGTCACGCGACGTCCGGAATACAGACCGATGAGACCGCACAGTCAACAGGGCGGCCTCATGAGACCCCCACACTCTCAAACGGACGGACTGACCCCGGTCGGACGGCAACCGGACAACGCATAATGACTAGACAGACCAACCCAACCCGACGGCGCACACAATACCAGCCGCCCAAAAGCCGAGACCCTGGGGAATACACAGCAGTACAAGAGGAGGCATCCGTCAGCACCGCCCCCGCGCAAAACATTGGAATGCTATAGGATATGCATCGTCAACGGCCCCACTGGCAGTCACCTCCGGAGACGACTCAGGCGTCGGCTGCGGCTGCCCGGGGCCAGGAGCGCGGGGAGCCCGCCCACTGCACGACGGAAGCACGAGCCGCGCCGCCACTGGGCGGCGTCCGGAGCGGCGGCGGGGGCCTCAGTCGCCACGCACCGGGAACATGAGCACCTTGGCCTGCATGAAGTCGATGTTGGGCAGGCGGGCCAGCAGGCGGGAGGCCTCCTCCGAGAGCGGCGGCCCGGCCGTCTGGGCCAGCAGCCGGCTGTAGACGGAGCCGGCCGCCGGCGGGCCGGGAGCCGGCGCCGGCTCGGCCGCCAGCAGCTCCCGCTCCAGACCTGCCGGCGTCGGCGTCGCCGTCACACACCGGCGCCCAGGCGAGCACGCTCCATCCAAAGCAGTCGGCACGTCTGCTGTACGCCTCACCCACCCTCAGGTACCTGACATCGCATGCGCAGGCTTCACGCGGTGACGGGCACGGCTGACACGGTAACAGGCAAGCCTGACACAGTGGCGGACAAGCCTGACACGGTAACGGGTGAGCCTGACACGGTAACGGGTGAGCCTGACACGGTGACGGGCAAGCCCGACACGGTAACGGGTAAGCTTGACACAGTGACGGGCAAGCCTGAAACGGCAACGGGTAAGCTTGACACGGTAACGGGTAAGCTTGACACGGTAACAGGCAAGCCTGACACAGTGACGGGCAAGCCTGACACGGTAACGGGTAAGCTTGATACGATGACGGGCAAGCCTGACACGGTAACGGGTAAGCTTGACACGGTAACAGGCAAGCCTGACACAGCATAAGACGAGCCTGACAGTACCAAACGGGCCCGACAGTGTGCACGGGCCTGACAATGTCAGACGGACCCAGAGTGTCCATGGGTCTGACACCATGTCAGTCAGGCCAGGCATCTGTTACAGGCTTGACGCGTCGGAGAGGAATGGCACGGTCAAAGGCTACTTGACGCATGTCAGACGGCCTTGATACTGTGTCGGACGAGTCTGATGTGCCCTTAAACTAGTCCAACAAATGCAAAAGGGCATAACGGTGTCACACGGGCCTGCGCCACAATTCTCAGAACTGTGGGTTGATTGCGAATCTTGCGTGTGTTTTTTTGCGCTTGTCACATATCAGGCTCCCAATGCACATGAGCTTTCCCCGCAAAAATACGGTCAGGCCGCCCGTCCCACATAACAAAAACAGCGATCGCGGGCGTGGCACAGGCACGCAACACTGACGACAAAGCACTGCTGTAATATGCTGGCCCATCAGCGGCACGGCGTCCCTGGACGTAATGCGCCGGATCAGCCGGCCAGCGAGTGGTGGCGCCGGCCCAGCAGCTGGTGGCGCGGGGAGCACTCGCTGGAGGCGGCGGGCACCAAGCACTCGACCGGCCGGCACCAGCCAGCAGGTCCACACGCCGCTGCCGGCCCAACACAACAGCACACAGAGCAGGCAGCGCCGACACGCCCCATCTCGTGCAAATGCAGACCCAGCCAAGAGCACCGGGTGGAGGGCCACACAGTTCGTTCCATACACAGATGAAAGCGTGCAAGCGGCTGTAGGCCACCGTCGGCCTTCTACGGATCATTCTCGAGAACACTTGAACGACGATGAAACCAGGGCGAGGCAGCTGTGAAGCCTGGTCCGACGCACCAGCCATGCTGTGTATAACTGACTGGGTGGTCCGAGAGGCTCGGCTTCGTGGCGAAGACGACGCCAGCGCAATCCGGTAATGCGGCCCACGCGGCGGCGCTCGGGCAGTCACGTGTCGCATGCACGGCACCCCCGACTCCGGCATCTAATTATGCCCGAGTACCCCCGCCAGAGGCGCTTGGCATGACTGATGCCACCACGGCGGAATGCGACGCAGGCACGTCAGGGCGTCACGTGTGCGCGCCGGCGCCCGGCTGGTCCCGTTCACCGGCGCAGGTCAGGCAAGGGGAGCTGACTAAACAGACACAGCCGCCGCCCACGCATGGTAGGACCGGCCCCAGCTGTGAGCTCCCCGCCGCCAGTCGTGACCTGCCTCCCCTGCTGCGGCCCCAGCGTTATGACCCGAGCCCAGTCACCTTCGTTTCGCTGGCCAATTTTATTTCCGTGTTTTCTTTGTCGCAGTGTCTCCGTCGCCATTCTTCCCCTCCCCCTACCGACGCTTGGTGTTCAATTTAGGTGCGCTTACATTAGTGTAGCGTCATCTGCATGCTCGGCACAGTGACTTCGTCTATGGAGCATCCAAGACCACACCTATTGCAAAACAAAAAACAAACCAACAACAACTAAAGACCAGGTAAAGCGCGGCCATTTCTGCCATTTCCGGCGGAGAGGTGCGACACCAGCCCCAGCATGCCGACAACAGCTACGGAAGACCAGCAGGCCGGAACTGAACAGAAACGCGGCGAGTCACACCAGCGGGCTGGACGCCAGGCGAGCCGCGCCGCCACCGCGCGGCACACAGACAGACGGACAGACGGACAGACAGACGGACAGGTGCGGCGGCCGGCGCGCCACTTACAAGAGAGGAACGTGTTAGGCGCCGCCGCCGGGCTGCTGTTAGTATCAAACACGTCCAGGTCCAGCAGGCTGTAGGAGCCCGGCTCTGTGGGGAGGGCGCGACCGGGCCATATCACTGTCACCGGGGGTCATGACACTGTCGGCAGGGGGGGCGTGACACTGTCGCCGGGGCCCCTTGACATTGTAGCCGGGGGGGGGGGGGGCGTGGCAGTCACCGGGTAATGTGACACTGTCACCGGTAACGTGACACTGTCACCGGTAACGTGACAATGTCACCGGGTAACGTGACACGGTCACCGGGTAACGTGACACTGTCACCGATAACGTGACACTGTCGCCGGTAACGTGACACTGTCGCCGGTAACGTGACACTGTCGCCGGCAACGTGACACTGTCGCCGGGTAACGTGACACTGTTGCCGGGTCATGTGAATGTCACCGGGTAGCTTCACACTTGGGCAGGGGGCCGTGGCAATATCTTCGGAGGCCGTGACACTGTCGCCGGGGGGCCGCAGCCGAGTCGCTGTCGCCGGCCGGGACTGCCGCCGGCGCCGTCAGGGGGACGGCCGCAACACAGACGCGCAGTAGCCCTAAACGCCCTCGCGGATGGCCACAAGGCAGCTTCTTAAGCTGTGATTTTGTTATTTGGGGAATATATATATATATATATATATATATATATATCTATATATCTATATATCTATATATCTATATATATATATATCTATATCTATATCTATATCTATATCTATATATATACATATATATATATATATATATATATATATATATGTATATATAATGCCAATCGACCAGGGAATGCAAAGAACCCCGAAAAATTGGACCGATTTTGTTAGGGAAGCGTGCAAAGACGGCGACGTCGTGCCCTTCTCAACAACGGAGTCAAGATACGGATAAGTACGCAGTCACCACGCCAGAGCACACACAGCGCAGTGTCACCGTGTGAGATCGCAGCAAGCAGTGGAGGTACAAGTACAGCACTCGGACAATGATCTAAGCATGATGGCCTGCGCCGCACACTGCGTTATAATGCGTTTTTTAATACAAATACCACGCTGTATTAGCACACGCGTTGACATGCTGGGTGGTCGCGGCATCTGCCATATGCGGCATCCTATAGGACGCGCTGCAGACTGTGCAGCAGCGACACACCTTTCAGCGAGGAACTGCCGTCGCGGTGTCAGTAATCAGCACGTCATTCATTAGGTAACCACGCCGCTGCCTGTGCACACCCCCAGGTGGCAGCGTCCGCGCCTGAGCAGCACCTCGCACCACGACGAGCGGGGGCAGTACCACAGAGATGTGACGGACCACCCGGGCTGTGTACTGGGCGGGTCCAACGCGCCCTGCTGCGGCCCCGGCATGAGGAGACACGCCGGCCAGCCAGCTCGCCGCCCGGTGCCGGACACGAGGGTCACAGGCTCCACGACAGAGGCTGGCTCCGGCCGCGGCCACGGGAGGCCGTGATGCCGTGACGGCCGTGACGGCCGCCGCCGCAGTCGGCACGGGGAGCCGCGTGACCAAATGGAATTGGCCGGGCGCGACCTGACCAGGCCAGACAGCCACCCACCGCGTCCGGGTGCGATGCACTGGTGCCGCCGCTGTGACGCAGCTGACCCCGTGCAGGATCCAGGGCAAATCAATAACATACTGCGTACCCAACAGAGTATCTGATGCCCACGTCACCCGCGATCGCTGGGTCTCATCGCACCGTCTTAAATGACGCGGAAAGACTAAATGTGGGTGGTGAATGGTGGTGGTAAATATGTCTGGACCCTGGTTCGGCGGCCAAACACGTACACATGCGATGCTTTCAAGTGAAATTGCCTGTCCGGCAGCGCACAATCCACAGCGAAAGACTGCATTGTGGCGAAAATAAATGTATTCCCAAAAAAGCAGCCAAGAAAGTACGGCAAAGCTTTTGTAGCTGCCTGACCAAAAGTGTGATGCACGCTCACGACGTCCCGCATGGGCTTGAATCCAAAACCTAGGTCGGAGCGCGAGTCCGAACCCTAGTTCTTGAGTAGGAGTCCGAGCCCCGAGTTCACCATTTGCCACATGGCATGAGCCCATAGCACGGGTCCGAGTCCTAAAGCCTTGAGTTCAAATCAGAGTGCGCTCGTCTTCACCGAAAGCGAGTCAGGGTCCCTGGAGATTGGGTATGAGTCCGATTCAGACCATTCAGGGGCAGCCAATTAGGGCCTTATCAGAATTTGCGGGCGAAGATAATTTCAAAGCAGATAGTTCGACGGCAAACACTGCCGGGAATACAAATCGCAGCACGTTACAAACATTATTCAGTCCGACCAGGACTAATGAGGCCGATGCTACGTCTCTCGTCACCCGGCTCAAACTAGTCCAGCAAAAGCCAACCCAACAGGAACCACTCCCACGCAGACGAACATCCCTGGCCCACTTAACCCAATCGAACCTACATTACGTACGCAAGCGAGTCTATTGCAATTGTATTCTATTTGTATTATATTCAATTTGTATTTGTTGTCAATTTGTATTGTATTTGTATTATAGTTGCACAATATTGTGTTGCATTCCTTCCATCGTAGGTTTAATGACAGTAAGGGTACCCAAGTCAAGCACCCAAGTCAGATGCGCGTGGATAAGTGCCGCACGCAAGTGGGTTACGATTAATGCCAAGCCAGTGACTTCGGAATGTGATGTTTAGTAAGGCGCTAAATTTTAACTGCTTTTAGCCTGATTTGGCCATTATTGCGATTGAGTCGAGTTTGAATCTGAGTCCGGATCAATTACCATTTAAGTCGTGAGTCCGAGTTCCAAACATCCGTGAAATAATTCGATGAGTTTCAGCCCCAAAATGTCATGAGTCCAGACCGGAATCCTCGTCCGGTCGAACTCACAAGTCCACCACACAGTCCAAGTATAACTCCCGTCCGTGCAAACTAGCAGTACGCCTTCGGACAGTAATCACGAGCGAATCAATCGAGGACAACAGAGGACCAGCTCCGTGATCTGTCTGACTCAGTCCGCACTTCTGATGCACACGTGGTGAGGCGGCACGACTTCGCCTCCACGGGCACTTGTCAAGGGCATGCTGCCAATCAAGGTGTGCTGCAGAGTTCCCTTGCACGATGGGTTTTACCCAATCGCGTTCGCCATAGTTCCACGCGCCACGCCCCAGCGGCACAGTCCAGTCCAGCGGTCCAACAGTAGAGGAAACACGAGAGGCAGCATAAGTACCTGCCGGCTCCAGCGGGTTTTTCAGCCCGGAGCTGTTCCAGTCGAAAGCAGCTGGAGGAACCTGCAACGAACATCACTGTCAGAGGCGTTGCAACCTTTCGACGCCAATCTATACGTGTTATGTCGACTTCAGCGGTGACAACGGCATCTGAAGCGCCAGTCAGGGCTCCTGACCCGCGTGACATGGCCAACTGTTAGCTGTGAGGGCAGAGCAGCTGTGGCCAGCTGTGACCGGTCAGGGCAGGGCAGCTGTCACCAGCTGTGACCAGTCAGGGCAGGGCGGCTGTCACCAGCTGTGGCCAGTCATGGCAGGACAGCTGTGGCCAATTGTGGACAGTGAGGGTAGGGCAGCTGTGACTAGCCGTGGACAGTGAGCACAGGACAGCTGGGGCCAGCTCTTGACTGTGAGGGCACGACAGCTGTGGTCAGCTGTGGACAGTGAGCGCAAGACGGTTAAGGCTAGCTGCTGACTGTGAGGGCAGGGCAGCTGTGACCAGCTGTAGCCAGCTGTGGACAGTGAGCGCAGGACGGCTGTCGCCAACTGTTGACTGTGAGGGCGCGGGTAGGTTGTGACCGGTCAGCGAAGTACCTCGCGTGGCGCCGGCGCCGGCTGCTCGTGGCGGCGCTCGGGCGGTGAACCTCGGGTCGGCTGCATCGGCTCGCCGTCCAGACCTGCGGCGAACAGGCCCGCCGCCCGGCCGCCCCATCCGCCGAAACTCTGCCAGCGGAGAGCAAAGCTGTGTCAACCACAGCACGGAGCCGGCGGCCCAGTCATCAGCGCAGGGGTCCGCCCAGCACCACCCACCGACGACACTGACAGGCAGACGACGTCTCCGATCTCCCCCCGGGGGCAACAACAGCCGTCAGGCGGAGGGCGTCAGGTGGAGGACGTCCAGCGGAGGGCGTCAGGCGGAGAGCGGAAGGCAAGGGCGTCTGGCGGAGGGCGTCAGGCAGAGGGCCGACGGCAGAGGGCCGACGGCGCCTCTGGGCGGTCAAAGACATGAAGACAGCCACGCCGGGCGGGTCCGGGGTCCAGGGTCCGGAATTCGAGGATCCGTTGGCCAAGTCTGGATCCGGATCCGGGGGCAAGGATCTGAGGATCCGGGTCCGAAGTCCGGGCGACGCCCCAGTGCGGAGGCTGGCCGACCTGCTATCACGACCTCCAGCCGGCCGTCTGACGTTTAATCGATCGGCGACCGTGATGGATGACGCGGCAACTGGCGAAATCAATTGTCTGACCGACGAGCCTGAAGTGAACTGTGCCCAGCAATAACACACAGCATTTACAGAGGATCGCAAATTCAGCCGGCGCCCCTGTGCTGAGAACGACGGCGTCCACATAAAATACGCAGCGCGACATGTTTTCAATTTGTCCGATTGCGCATTCGGAATACGGAGCGAAGTTCAAAAATATATTTGATCGTTCGCTGATATAAAGCACGTGAGATTTGAAAGTCTGATGCCGTCAACACCCATGAACATGGCTTCTCGTATTCCTGGATTGCAACAATGAAGTGGGAAATGGCAAACAAGTTTAGCTGAGAATGTAGATGTGATTGGAACAGCGTTTATGACGATCTAGGGACATTTCCCAGGGAGTGAAACGAACAAATGCTTGGTATGGAACACCCAAGAGGTGATGAAACATTTTGTACTTAGACAATCTAAAACCTGTTTCATTGCTTTCAGCCGTTTCACACAAAATCATCAGGACTTTTAGCGGGACAGAAATGCTCCCGGGCAGCATGCAGCCAGCAGGCCCGAACTTGTGCTGATGAGACCCCGCCATCAGAGCCAGGGGTCCGCGCCGCAACGCTTGTACAACGCGCAAGTCTAATAACAATGGAATTAAGTGTGAAGGACTAATCCGACGAAGAGGGAGCATAGAACATCGCTAGATATCAAAAGCCATGTTAGTACATTTACACTGCTATAGCGATTAGCACCCCATTCTCGTTCCCAAGAGAGTGACATGCGGTACGGCGTCGGGACCCACCACCTCGTTGGTTCGATTCCCTTCGGAGTTATAACCATCCCTTACGGAGAATTATAACGCAGGCGAACGGACTTTACCATACGCGGCCTCGTCCTGGAACCACATACCACAACCGAGATCGCCCGGTAGTATGTAGCATTTGGTGACAGGCTAGGGCAAATGATTCGGTAGCTGAGAATACTTGGCAGGCAGTGGCAGTGTCCATGCAACGACCTATGCTCAGCAACGATCCTGGTCTCGACGATGCTTCGTAAACCCACTCCTGCGTTTAAATGTGCCCAACCAAAGCACGTGCGTCCAAATTTCTCCTGAAGGACTCCTCAAATCACCATTAGCAGCCATCAGTTTGCTGGACTCTGTGTTGGCCGAGGGAGCGGACGGCCGGTCGGCCAGCCGTGCGCGCAGACAGCCACTGTCCGCCCGCCAGGCGGTACCCCTCACGATAATGTTGTTGGCGTCCACACGCAGTGCGCGCAGCAGGTCGGTGTTGGCGCGCGACCCAATCCAGCGATACTGGAGGGCGGCCGTGGCTTCTGCGTCCCTCAGCTGGTACCAGACGGCGCTGGAGTCCAGCGGCGTGGCAGCCGGCTCCCGCTCCTCGGCCAGCAGCGGGAACAGGCCCGCTAGCACGGCCGTAAACACCTCCTGCAACACGGCGCACGGTCAGCCAGCTACCGCAACAGACACATCAGAGCGAACAGTGCTCGCCGGCTCGGACGGCTGGGAGGACTGCAAACACACCGAAATAACAGGATAAAGTCAAACCAGCCAGCAAGCCTTGAACACCTGACGAACGCACGACCGCAACATAGCTCGGGCTGCCCGCAGCGCCACGAACACCTGCAACAGTGTGGGTCAGGTTGGCCGACGGGCGGCGGGCACTTGCTGGAAAACGAGTCAGACAAAGCACATGCCAGGATCAGGAAGTGGCCGCGACCCATACAATTAATGATTGAGCATCTACGCTCCGTCGACCGAGCAACATCAAGCTGAAGGCGGCCGGCTGGCTAACCGCCTGCAGAGTCGTAAGCAGCCAGAAATCGGCTGAACTGGTGTGAATTCGCTAGTCAAAGCGGTCGATTTCTTGAAGCGCGGGGCAATTGGAGTGAAACTGGGACGGCTTTATTAGCCGACGTCATAAATAAAGCGGCTCAAAAAGCACTCAGGCGCACGCTCCAACCTGGCAGCGGGAATTGCCCCTGCAATAAACGGAGCGGGTTTACAAAAATGCATGATGTACATGGCTGAAAGCAGCCACAACAGGATACGTCATAGGCATGTCTCAACGGAGTCGACTCCATTGAATGCATTCCTGATTTGGTCGTTGCATATTGTCCACCAAATGGCGTCGACCGGCTTCCCGACTTAGAACGCCCAGAGTGGAAGGCATAAAACGGCAGATAGCTGCTAAGAGGCGAAGTCGGAACGATTCGCACAGAATGGAAGCCGAGACATTGTCTTTTCCACGGTAGCAGTGAGCTAAAATTCGGTCAGGCCCCAGGACAGCCACTCACCGTGTCTCCAGCGAGCGTCGGCTCCGGCAGGGTCGGCGTCTGGTACCGCTCAAAGTCGCCGAACTCGTCGTCACCAAAGTCGGCCGGGTCGGCCAGCTGCCGCGAAACTGGTGACGACGCCGGCTCGCCGTGTGGCGACGCGGCGAAGACGGCGCCGAAGTCGGCGAACCCGCCGGCCGGCTCCCCACCATCGCCGCCCGAGAACTCGCCAAATGCGTCCTCTGTCGACGCCAGGGCACCGGCAGGTGCCGCGAAATCCCCGAAGTCGTCCGAAGGCACCGCGAAGTCTCCGAAATCATCATTGGACGCGCCAAAATCTCTATAATCGCCTGGCGGCACTGCAAGGTCGTCAGGATTATCTGTTGGCACCGCAAAGTCCCCAAAGTCATCACCGGATGTTTGGACGTCTTCAGACTTATCACCAGGTCTCTTTAGATTTTCAAGGTCATCAGCGGGAGTCACTATGTTTCCGAATTGACCAGAGGGGACCGCATGGTCTGAAGCCTCGTCCTGAACCATGTTCGTCCAGTCGAAGCCGTCGTCCGATCCAAAGCTGTCCTGGCCTTGCTTCCCTTCTGCTTGCTGCGGGCGCTCCGACTGTGGCACACTATCACTCAGCCCGTAACAGCCGTCACTCTCTATCCTTGGCTCATTCCCCGCCAGTTCAGCACACTCCTCGCCATCCTCCTGTCGCAGGAACTCACTTTGCCGAACCATCTCCACACTATCAAGATGATACATACTGTCACCTGCCTCATCCGACTGCTCGCCGAGCACCGAGGGGGACGAATCCGATTCTCTTTCGATAGATGGCAGCACAAGATCGGGCATCTCCTCGTACTGTTCTCCGTCTCCGCGGCGCTCCAAGTGCGTCGCCGCGTCCGTCTCCCCGACGCTGGGGGTCGGCGAGGGCGATTCTGGGCCGCGCCCCGCCTCCGCCGCCGGCCGTCGGCGCGAGGCGGACGCCGCGGCGCCCGCGCGGGCGCCAGGCGAGCCACACTCGGGCCGAGTCGCAGAGTCCGAGCTCGCGGCGCCAGCGTCCGGCACGGCCGACTCCAAGTCCGACTCCACCCGGTCCGCGGCGACGGCAGCAGAGTCCGCCGGACGCGGGTCGGCGGTGGAGGGGTTCGGCGGGTCGGACTCTGAACTGGTCGAGTCGGTGCGCGCCCGGTCTGGTGCGCAGCCGCCGTCCAGGCCGCGCGGGCTGCCGCCGGTGCCCTCGCTCGCCGGCTCCGTCGGCACACCCAAGCTCACCGGCGTGGGGACACTGATGGCGCTGCCGGCGCTGAAGTCGCCCCATTCGTCATCATCAAAACTGACTGGGGATGTGGGGCTGGCCGGCGGCAGGACCGCACCAGAGAGGGTGCCGCGGTCGGCCGGACAGGCTGCTGGAGCATCCTGACCAGATGCCTGGCTGGCCACTGGCACTGGATCGGGCTCATGACATGGTGCCAGCTTCTGTGACAAGCCTGCAATGTGTGACAATGACCATGAGGGCTAAAACCATCCAGCCACCAGTCATCCAGTCAACCAGCAAGATTACAGGTTGCAGCTCCTTATTTTAAGTTACGCAGTCAACAGTGGGAAATCCATGTAAAAGCAGCACCAATTCACTCCTTTAAAGTGTGTGCACACCTATTCCCATTACTTACTCAAAGGATTGGATATGCAACCAAAGCATTATGTTTAGTGACTCCTAGCAACCCTCCTTCCCAATATTTCACTTATGAAAAGGGATTTAATTAGCCTTCTGGTCACAGCAGTCACAAATATCAATAACCATAGAAAACATTGTGGGCATGAATTGCTTCCACCCCATTCCACCAAAGTAATGCTCACCTGTTATGTCAAATGATGAGTCACCACCACCAAAGTCTTCTCCATCATCACCACTGAGGTCATCATCTGATGGGGGTGGTGATGCAGAGACCATTGGTGGAAACATGTCTGCCTGCTGTTTAACTCTGCTGGGTACCTGTCTTCCTGCATAAAAGACATCATTAGTTGTATGTGGTGGTAGTTAACTCAACTGACAAATCAAAACAATAACAGTAGCTTGATTTCATGTCTACTGGTGTTCAGTATTTGTAGCAGGTAATCCGGCTGACTCTCCAATATTTCAGCATGCAGCTGTGGATGCTGCCTGCTTCAGATACCATTCATGGCTGCAGCCAGTGTCAATGCAAGAACTTGTAAAACAAAAATGCAAAGGAGCAATTCTTAGGCCATACTGGACAAGTTTGAATTCACTTTTGTATAAGAAAACCATTACCTCTTGATAATTCCCAAATCATTCCAGGATTGCTTTATCCACGCCAAAATTAGCAGGTGAACAGGGTAAATTGGTCCCGTGGAGCGCTGAACGTTTGCCCACAGCACCTGAGCCGCCTCGGCAACATTAGCGCCATTTTTCTGCCAAAATTTCTATGCCAGTAATGACCTGTATCCGGAACTCCCTGCAAAGGAACACATATACGAGAAAACATCCACTGATGCACCCACCTGCGACACCCTCCGCAATAACCGAGCACCGTCACCGCCGTGACCATTGTGTTCGCATTCCCATGTTTCCGTCTTAAACGTAAATCTGTAGATGCTCAAGGTCAAAAAGGCGCGAAAATTGACCAATACGTAAAGTATACTAATGCAACAACGAATGATTACTGGGTATTGTGGCCTTTGTGCACGATTCACGCCAAGACAAAACATTACAATTTCATCATCAACATCAATCCAGATGTGGCGCTTTAAAGACATTAGCAGCGCAAGCCAAGACTCGCCCCTGCGCTTGCGCTGGTTGAAGAGTGATAATAACAAAGCTTGGCAGGCTTCAGTCCCCGGTAGCCCTGCTGAGGCGGTCGGTTGGGGGGCGCGGGTCTCCTCGGTGATAGGTTGTACGCCCTTGACGTAAATGCGTAGACGGGGTTGTCCCGGGTCGTAGCACGAGTCCGAAATAACCCCGTTGGAGTTGCACGGTGAGGCGTGTCGGTGGGTGATTACCCGTCATTCCATGTCCTGCTTAGCATGTATTTGTGAAGCTATTGCGGTTGGGGGAGCCTGTAAGATTCTCAAAAGACTTTTATAAATATTGACTTGTTTTGGAGGTTCATGTGTAGGCAAGCATGCTTTTCATACTGTCAAATCTCTTCTTATATGATGCATTATTTTCTTCCCTAATTCATTCACACTGCTTCATGTTTATGTGGTTCCTATCCCCAGGAAAAGACTAGTGGGAAGTTTGCATGATGTCTTATTTTACCCAATCCCTGGGCTATATCTTGCAATGAATTGTTAATAAATAAGGTTGCACATGTTAATCCAATTGCTCACTGCCCTGTTCCCTGCTAATTATGCACTGGTTACTTGGGACAAGACTCCCTGTTTCTGGGTTTGAGGAACTCTTTGCCCTGCTGTTAAAACATCTGTTGGTTAATTTTAAGATTATTTGTTAATCCATGACAACATAATGTTACTGTGTCTAAACTTTGGATCCCACTTATGCATATGCCTCATCAGATGTCACATGCCCTGCCCCATCCTTGCGCAATATCACATATGGATTATCTAGTTACAAACAAATATTATGTTAGCACTATTCATCTTGTCAAACTGTGGCAGGTCTAACATGACTGGACAGCATAGGCATGTAAGTGCCCATCTGGTTTATGGTTTAAATGGTATTTTCCTGCTTATGCCAGGCCCAGTTCATTTAAAACATCTGAGCATTGCTTCGCATGTCTATTGTTCCATAATCCATCTGCATTTTGACTTGTGTTGCCTTGACTTTGTTATCATGTTTGGTTTAAAGTCATGAAACAAGGAAGTACAATGTTATTTAAATTTACGTGCTACAACACAACTAGCAAAAAGATACCTCATGTAGTATGCAGAGAGCTAGGTTTGAGCAGATCTCAGGGTATTAATTATCCCAGAGTAGATATTGTCAAAATCTGAGATAAAAGAACCAAATGCCTTAGAAACTGCTGCCAGTAGATGTTAGCATGGCATTGGTATCTGCCTTTCAGAATAATAGAGCAGCTAAACACATCATTTATTGGCATGCTTCTTGTGTGTTGATTTTATTCAAGTCCCATTGCTTGAAACTTAGCCTGTGATATATGTAGTTTAGCCTAGCAAATTTAGTTAGTAAAATAAATCAAGTTGTAGTTATGCATGATTTAAGACTGGAGTCAAGTCCTGAAAAAATGCTAATTTTTTGGTACATATAGTATGCAATAAAAGGTACTCTATTTCTGTATGTTACTTCTGGTCCAAGCTCTGATGTAAGACTAGCATGCTGAATTAAAGGCCAACTTGAGGAAAGGGGATGTTGGCTGCCTCCACATTGACTGCTGCTACATCTATGTAGCATATGGTGTTGGGTCACATAATGGATAGTAGATAGGTATTCTGATGGGGCATTCACATGCCTTGGTCTCCAGTTGGTAAGATCAGCAGTGCTTAGAAGTCTCCAAGACAGGTAGATCCTTTGGTTGTGCCCAAGAACTTGGGATTGCCAGCACCAGTAACTGGTATGTCTGCCAATAATCAATGCCAGCCATTGTCCATTCTCTCTGTCAAAACATGTTGGTCTGTGTTGCTGCAATACAGGGGGCATCACACCTGTGCCAGGCTTTACCCCCATGTCATGCAGCCTTTTTGGGGACCAGCATAAGCTATATTTTGCCACTTAATTGAATGGGAATGACACAGTTTGGATCAAGTTGCATTGTTCAAAGGAATCACACCTGGTCAACCAGCTTGTCTGCATCAACAGGGCAACATAAAGCCCACTGCAATATTTGTTCATGAGATTTTCATGCAGTTGTCACCAATGGGGTTGAAGATAAAAGCTTTAAATACATATAGTATCAAACCTGGTCAGGTCAAGTTCAAAACATGTCATTTTTGCATGGTAGTTATTACCTGGTTGCAACCTCCCATCAAATTTGAATGCTTCATTGTCATGTTTCTTTGTTGTGGTGATTGGAGCAGCTCATACATTTTGGTCTTTTTATGATTGTCTTCTTTCCAATGATATTGCAGTACCTATCTGGCATTCAAACAGTTGGATTGAAGTGTGCTCTCTCCATCTTCCAGCAATCCTATTGCGATGCAATATGACAAACACGACATTTGTGGCAACAGTGTTGATTGGGACACATCTGGCAGGTTTTTGCTTTCACTAACACTCTGTAAATCCCCGCTGCTGGCCCTCTCTCGAATGGCGCTCGCTGCATAACCCTCCCCTTGTGACCTCCCCTTCTTCCTGTTGCTGCAGGGCATCAGGATGGCGTCGGAGCCGACGGCCGGCGCCGACGGCGTGTTCCGCGCCTCTGGCCATGCCGACGGTCTGCTGGTGCGCATGGACCGGCTGCGCCTGCAGCACGCGCTCTGTGACGTCACGCTGGTGGCTGGTGAGCTCCGGCTGCATGGCGACGCGCGCACTTGGCCGACCGCCAGCGACTGCGTCATTCCAGGCGACCCGTTTTGGATCGGCACGGTCTTTGTGAAAGGTCATCAGGATGGCGTGATTTGGACGTTTGGGTTGGCACAGCGGCGTCGCTGTGGCGACGGTGGATCTCCGTAGTTGGCTCTAAAACGATACGGTTCGCTGGAGTTCAGCGTGTGGCTGTGGGCGAGTCGAGCAACTGCAACGGCCGTTGGGTTGTCGCCAGATGTTGTGTAGTGAAGCCGCTTTCGCGTTTTGCTGCGTAGAAAATCGCTCATCGGCTGCGTTTGTGTGATACATTGAAAGTTAGCACTTAGATATTGGCATTAGTGTAGAGGTATGAGATTTCAATACCAGGGGCTGGAGATTGAGATAAACAGATAGCTGTTTCTGGAAAGAATGAAGCAGAAGCCGACAGCTAAATTTGTCAATAAATCTTATTAAAAGCCATCTATTTGGCTGTTTAAGTATTATCTTTGACAAAGTGGTACGAGTAAGATGACCTACGATGTGCGGAAAGTCGGCGGCCTGGGCCTGGAGAACCAAACGTTCTGTAGGTAATCTTGGCATGTGTCGGGTGCTCGCTGCGGGAGGCCGTGAGCGGTGTGTCTGACCCTGCCGCTGTCCGCCAGACGGCCGACGCATCCCTGCTCACCGACTGCTGCTGTCGGCCGCCTCGCCCTATTTCGAGGTCATGTTCACACACGACGTGCTGGAGGCGCGCGCGCCGGTGGTCGAACTGAAGCAGGTGGACCCGGACGCACTGCAGATGGTGGTGGACTTCTGTTATACAGGTCAGCGGCGCCGCCAGATTGGGCTGTGGGGCATTTAGAAGGGGTGTTCTGTATAGAACCATCATCGTCTTTTGAGGCGATGCATGGATAGTGAAAAGATGTACATTGTCCTTAGACGATGTGCATGCGGGATGCCCACTGAGCTCTTACATCCTTCCGCCTCGTATTTAAAGCATCCGCACACTTAACAAGAAATGAATTGAGCACTAGTCAGTCGCGGCGTCTCCGCCACACGGCATGTGTGAGTTGCTGACTGCGCATGCGCATACTGATCCCTCGGTTAACGCTCAGATACTGACCCAGCCAGCCTCCAAGCTGGGCCCTTGCTGCAACGTGCGTCATCTTACACTTACGCTCTAAGCAGAACGAAAACATTTGCTCGAAGTGTCTTGGCCGTTGCGATTATCCGAAGGGAGTGTTTTGAGCAGATCTGTGTTGCGCTTTCTGCCCGAGTGAGCGCGTGTGCACGCAACGCAGGCGCAAAAACAATGGTCTGTGGGCGCTTGGATCTGCGTTTTGACGTGAAGCAAAAGATAAACGTGTTCTGTGCTGTGCACCGTCGCACCAGTTCATCGTTCGCGTAAGAGTACGGTATCCATTGTTTATTGGTTGCGCTCAACCCCCGTGAAAATTGTCCTTATCGCAGCTTGCCTCATGTTGGTGCCGTGTGTTTGAAAGAGCGAGTGGCGGAGTGTGTTGGTGAATGTACTTTTTGGGTAGTTCCCTAACATACATGGAATGACATCACAGACGTTCGTGAAACGTGTGCACCCAAATCACGCTGGTCCGTCTCACTCTTCCAGGTCCTTCAAAGTTAGCACACGTGGGTCCTCATCTAAGTCACCGTAGTTCATACAGTGTAGTCGGTTTTTGTTTTTTCTTTGCCTTGCTCCACTTGTCCATTTTTCGAACGCGTCCATTTCGCGAACAACTTTTTCATAAGGGCTGAATTTTTTATGGGTGCTCCCAGCCTATGCCAGAGCTGGCGTGTTGCATAGTTTTTCCGTCTTGGTACGTGCTATGCTTTTGCTGTCAGCTACGGGTGATCGAATGGCTAAGTACCGGAACATCTCGCAGCTAGAATTGTGAAAATTGGTGAGGAAGTCTTATTGTAGTGACAAGGCTGACCATTTCCTTGGATGATGACTATTTTGCTTTTTGTCGTTTGATATAAGCGCATTGCAGGTGATGTCTTCAGCGAAGTTTTATTTCGTATGATGTCTGAGAAGTGGGGGGGGGGGGGAGGGGGGCTATCATGCTCCGCTCACGCATGAATATCTAGGGAAGCTTGGCTCGGGTTCGTATTAAAAGTTCCTTTTCCATCCGTAATATTGCTTGCAAGGCCAATAAAGACGGGTTTGAGTCTAGTCCAACTTAAGCGTCTCACAAGCACTTGCTGGGTCGTATGCATGACAGGAATTTGATTTGATCGTGGTCCCGCCTTGTGACGGCTGTCTCCATTTCCGGCCACCAGGTTGTCTGGAGCTGAATGAGCAGACGGTGGAGCTGCTGCTGACCACGGCCAGCCTGCTGCAGCTGTCGCAGATCCAGACGGCCTGCTGCCACTTCCTCGAGAAGCAGCTGCACCCCTCCAACTGCATCGGCATCGGCCTGTTCGCTGAGCGGCAGGGCTGCCAGAAGCTGCACCGCTCCGTCCAGCGCTTCACCGCCGTATGTCAGCCGCCACACCGGGCACAGCAGCGGCGCCCCCTGTCACAACCGCCACCCACACGGTGTGACACAGCGGGTCAGCCGCCACACCGGGCACAGCAGCGGGCCCCCTGTCATAACCACCACCCATGCGGTGTTGTACAGCGGGTCAGCCGCCACGCCGGGCACAGCAGCGGGCCCCCTGTCACAACCACCACCCACCTGGTGTTGTACAGCGGGTCAGCCGCCACGCCGGCACAGCAGCGGGCCCCTGCCACAACCACCACCCACATGGTGTTGTACAGCGGGTCAGCCTCCACCCGGGCACAGCAGCGGGTCCTCCGTCACAACCACCACCCACGCGGTGTTGTACAGCGGGTCAGCTGCCACACCGGCGCAGCAGCGGGTCCCCTGTCACGACCACCACCCACGCCGTGTTGTACAGCGGGTCACCGGCCACGCCGAGCACAACAGCGGGTCCTCTGTCACACCCTCTAAAACAGTGGGTCGCCATCCACACCGTGTTATACAGCGGGTCACCTGGTCGTGGCTTAGAACGGTGGGCCACGGCCGAGCGGCGTGGAACAGTTACCCATTGGTCACGTGACATGAAACAACTGCCCAGCGGCCGCACAGATCAGACAAGTTTGTCACCGGTCAGATGCTGTGTATCAGCCAGCCGTCGCTCGTGTTGTGCAGAGTTGTGGTCACGCATGGAGTAATTGTTATAGGTCACGGGCTCTGCCGTGCATGATCACGAGTTGTCTACCTCACGAAGAAACTAGGCACGTGCCTAGCTTTGAGTGAGGTAGTTTTTTTATAGATTTAGTTTTTTAGCAGATACGCATTTACAAACGTTTACCGTAATGCAGGTTCCCAATTTCGAAATCATGGAAGCTCTGCAATATTGTCCATGGAATGTGAGGACGGGCTGTAACAAGCATGTAATATTTCGTTCTTAGACGATACGGAATGTACGCTGTGTAGCTCTCGGGCTACTTGAAGTTTTCCGTTGATTGTTTGTGTGTGCTGAGGTGACGTGATCGTAAGTGCCATGTTTGTTTCTGTATTGCAGGACAAGTTTGTCGACGTCATCAGGAACAACGAGTTTCTGGACCTGCCACCAGACGAGGTGGCTGCTCTTCTTGCCTTGGATGATCTCAACATTCCATCGGAAGAAGTCATCTTTTACGTAGGTCTAAACTACGCGGGAGGGGGAATCACGCGTGCGGGGACAGGGGATAATGAGACAAGAGCAGGGCTCGCACAGGGAATAGATGGAACAGGGGTAGCGCTCGCATAAGGAATAGATGGCGCTGTATGTTCGCAGTCAATATACCATCACACATCACCACGGTAATGATATTCCTGTACGGGTCTGCTGAATGATTTGAGTGCGCCATCGTAACAGCCAATGCTCCGCATGTTTCACGCGTGAACATGACTTGTCTTTTATCATCTCATGATGCGTTTAATGCGTAATCCGACACTTGCTTCGACACTGTCCGTCCTGTCGTGCTGGAGCTGCACGGACCGGTGTCGCTTCCCCAGGCCCTGAACATTTGGCTGAACCACGATCTGAAGAAGAGACGCAAGCACCTGGCTCAGCTCATGCCCCTGGTGCGGCTGCCGCTGGTCAGCCCACAGGTACGGACCTCGCTTCTTCGCTGTGTTTTGTCTCATGCCCTCTGGCGTTCGGTGCTTACCTCTTGGGCAGTCGCGCCATATATCGCTCCTTTATGTGTAGCGCGGTGTCTTTTTCGCAGATAGAGCCCATATCCCTAAATTGTCATGTTAGCGTCGCCCTAAGCTGCTGTCTGCGGACTGCGCCACCGCAGCCTGTTCGCCCTATATTGCTGAGGAGATCTGAACGTGAACGCGTAATGGGCGGATTTGTTTAAAGCATTTATCGTTCTTCGTGGAGCTTGTTGTAATTGGCCGGTAATGGCAGTCCCGTTCTGTCACCGACCAATTGTAACGGACCGGCTGTGGCGCAGCCTAACTGCTTACGACACGTGTTCGGAAGTGGTCGAAATTATCGGCGCGGTTTTCAATTGATTTTGTGATTGGGGACCGTGTCCATTGCTGTTACCCGCAAGCGGGTTGTGTTGGGCCGGACCCATCGTGGTTTGGTGATCCCTCTGCGTGTAGTTCGTGGTGGACCGGATCCAGTGCATCCTCGTGTTCTCGTTGTGGCGGACCGGATCCAGTGCATCCTCGTGTTCTCATTGTGGCGGACCGGATCCAGCGCATCCTCGTGTTCTCGTTGTGGCGGACCGGATCCAGTGCATCCTCGTGTTCTCGTTGTGGCGGACCGGATCCAGTGCATCCTCGTATTCTCGTTGTGGCGGACCGGATCCAGTGCATCCTCGTGTTCTCGTTGTGGTGGACCGGATTCAGCGCATCCCTGTGTTCTCGTCTGACAGTTCGTGGTGGACCGGATCCAGTGCAGCCCGGTGTTCTCGTCGGACCGCACCTGCCTTTCGCTGATGCTCGAGTCGCAGAGCTTTCACTTGCTGCCAGAGCGGCGCTTCTCGGTGGGCGCCGAGCGCACGCGGCCGCGCAAGGCCACCGTCGGCACGCTGTACGCCATCGGCGGCATGGACCGCGAGAAGGGTGAGCCCCCGGCCGCCCCCGGCTGGGCTGGGTGACGACGTCAAGGGACTGAGGGACGCGTATGCGCAGGTCGGTACGCTTCACGGCACCGGCTGATGTTCGCGGCCTGTGACGCGTGTGTGCAGCGGCGTTTTGGCGTGCGCGCGGTCATTCTGCAGCCTGGCCGCCATGATGTTTTACTGACTGTTGTCTTTGATAATCTATTAGGATATGTTAGTGCTACGTCAAGAGAAACCTGTTCAATGGCAGAACACGAAGAAGATGTCATGTCGAGAGTGACTCGACCTGTTGGCCTGGGCTCCACCCGCATTGGCCGCCGAATGCGCCTGCGGCCGCCGGCTCTGGTCTTCTCCGGTGTATTTCTGCCGGGCTGCTGTCCCAGAGGACCCAGCGAGTCTGACTCGTGTGATGACGCATGTGAGGACATCCACTCCCCTGTGCTGCGCCGATGTTTTCCCTTCCATTTTCCACTGCTCTGCCGGATGCTAGCCTGATCATCGCCGATTGTCAGGAGCCGCGTTGCCCCCTCTCCCCCCCCCCCCTTCTCCTCTCCCACATACAGTACAGCTAGTTTCTCGACTCGGTCATCACCAATCATCCAGACTTTTGCAACCTGCGATGACCTCCCCTGCTGGGCCGCCAGGCTCGACCGTGATCGAGAGCTACGACCTGCTCTGACCTCCCTCGGCCTCCATGCGCGACCGTGATCGAGAGCTACGATCTGCTCCGACCATGCCTGTTCGGCCGCCAGACTCGACCGTGATCGAGAGATACGACCTGCTGTGACCATTCCTGCCCGGACCTGCTGTGACCATGCCTGCTCGACTGCGATCGAGAGCTACGACCTGCTCTGACCATGCCTGCCCGGCCGCCAGGCTCGACCGTGATCGAGAGCTACGACCTGCTCTGACCATGGCTGCCCGGCCGCCAGGCTCGACCGTGATCGAGAGCTACGACCTGCTCTGACCATCACTGCCCGGCCGCCAGGCTCGACCGTGATCGAGAGATACGACCTGCGCTCGGACCGGTGGGTGCAGTGCGGCTTCATGACCAGCCGGCGACTGCAGTTCGGCGTGGCCATCATCGAGGAGCGGCTGTACGTGGTGGGCGGCCGCGAAGGCCTCAAGACGCTCAATACCGTCGAGTGCTACGACCCGGTGACTCAGTGCTGGAGTTGCCAGCCGCCCATGAACAACCACCGGCACGGACTAGGTCAGTCGCCGGCCAGACGGCCACGGCGCGCTCCCGGCGGCGGTCAGCGGCCGCACTGAAACTTGGCGCGCTTGATGAGGCTCGGGACTGATGCCGTAGGCTAGCACACCACTCCTGTTGGTACAGTCGCGGGCAATAAAACGTCCGTGTGGTTCTGGCCTCTTACCGCACCGTTGCCTGTGAGCTTACGAGTGGTGTAGGAGTTCCAGTGTTATCAGATGTATAAGAGACTGGGCGGTCCGCTGTACTCCGTGACCCGCTGCCACAGGTGTGGCCGTCCTGAGCGGTCCGCTGTATACCGTGACCCGCTGCCATAGGTGTGGCCGTCCTGGGCGGTCCGCTGTACTCCGTGACCCGCTGCCACAGGTGTGGCCGTCCTGGGCGGTCCGCTGTACTCCGTGACCCGCTGCCGCAGGTGTGGCCGTCCTGGGTGGTCCGCTGTACTCCGTGACCCGCTGCCGCAGGTGTGGCCGTCCTGAGCGGTCCGCTGTACTCCGTGACCCGCTGCCGCAGGTGTGGCCGTCCTGGGCGGTCCGCTGTACACCGTGACTCCCTGCCGCAGGTGTGGCCGTCCTGGGCGGTCCGCTGTACGCCGTCGGAGGGCATGACGGCTGGGGCTACCTGAACACGGTGGAGCGCTGGGACCCACACACCAAACTGTGGAGTTACGTTGGCAACATGCAGCACCAGCGCAGCACGTGCGGAGTGGCGGCCCTCAACGGCAGGTGAGCGGTCGCTTCTCCCCTCCCCTCCCTGTGCCTTGTGCCGCCCGCTTTCTGTGCTACTGAATTTAGCCGGCTGTGTGTACTCGCCTGGCTGTTGTGCTAAGTGACTGGAGAAAGGCCGTTGCTCACAGTCGAAGCTCAGCGAAAACCAGGTTTCACATTGTTCACCATTTGCAGTCATTTTAATATGAAAATTAGACCTCGGGCTTAATCGACGGTTGAAATCAGACCTCGAGCTAAATTTGCGGTCGCTGCGTTCTTGGCTGTCGTTGACGCAGCCACTGGCGTGGGTTTGCGTAAGTAATGACTACAGCTCAGATGCACCCGATAGTGAATAATACGGTGACTGCCTCGTGACGAAGGAGCTGTGGCCATTCTGTCAATTAGCGTGCACCCATAGGAGGCTGGGGTGGATGGTGCCGTGCGCCACCCAGCACACCCCTTGCCATGATGCCACCCCCTCCGCTGCACCGCCGCTGCCAATCACGCCGGCCGATTTTCTGTGCTGTATGGACGAGCCTCTTGCGCGGAGAGGCCGCCCGTGTGAAAAGGTGGCACGGAACTGGGTCGCCCTATTTGTGGCATCGTTCATCTCTTTGCATACTCGTTTGTCTCCACCTTTCGTGGCCCCGAATGCCGCGGTTTGCATTTCTATTTCCGACTATGTATGTTAACGTTCGGCTGTTGGTGTCGCACTGGATCTGAATCAAGCGTGGGAGGGGATGATATGGAGTTATATTAGTGAGGGATGAGGTGTGAAATAGAGCGACATTTTTGAACGGTGTGAGGCTGGGACTGCGCTGGGAATACTACTGGCCACCTGATCGTGGGCGGCGGCTAAGTACAACAGCTGAACACAACACCACCGATGTCTGACTGGAGATAGGACCGGGCCCAGGTCCGTGTGGACGCTGTCCGTGCGCAGACCGCTCCGCCCCGCGCTGACTCCGCCGCTGTCGAGCAGGCTGTACGCGGTCGGCGGCCGCGACGGCTCCTCGTGCCTGCGCTCGTGCGAGTCGTTCGACCCGCACACCAACCGCTGGTCGGCGGCGGCGCCCATGCTGCAGCGCCGCGGCGGCGTCGGCGTCGGCGTCGTCAACGGCTGTCTGTACGCGCTGGGTGGCAGCGACGCGCCGGCCACCAGTCCCAACAGCCTCAAGTTCAGCTGCGTCGAGAGGTGCGCCTGCCGCCGCCGCCGCTGCTCGGTACTCGGTACTCGGTGCTCGGTGCTCGGTGCTCGGTGCTCGGTTCTTGGTGCGCCACTGGGCGGCGGTCTGCGTCGAGCCCTTGGACGTGTGTGTGGCACTCCGTGGGGCGAGGATTCGCCGCGTTTTATGCTTCTTGCTGCGGTTGCAGTGGTGGCATTGGACAGAAATTGCCCTCAGTGAGCCTTATTAAATGCAGCAACGCACTGGAATCACTTGTACATACTAGCTGGTTATCTTTAAATGCCATTTATCCATCTTATGTAGCCGCCAGCTTAGTGCTGTCTGTATGTTTTGCTTCCAACCGTATGCGTCCCGTTCCGTCTCCTGATGTTCGTCCCCCTCAGATACGATCCAAACACGGACCAATGGACGGAGATAGCCTCGATGGTCATTGGTCGGGACGGGGTGGCTGCCTGCGCTCTTGGCCAATGGCTGTTTGCCGTGGGAGGTTCCGACGGTCAGCAGTACCTTCGATTGGTCGAGTGCTACGACCCGCAGACGAACGAGTGGAAAAAGGTGAGACGGATGTGTCTTGAACAGGTCTGGGAGACTAGTGTACATTGCATCATCATCAGCAGATGGAATGGTCGTCTTTCGCAGGGCTGTATTTGAGAAAATCAGTGGGGGAGGGACGAAGGGGGCCGAATCAGGTGAAAGCGAACAAAAGTGCTCCATTTTCACCCGAAGCACAGATTTTCACGGGTTTTCACTTTCAATCTGTAAGAGGCCAACGACAAAGTTCGGGAGGGTCGTCATCACCCCACGTGATCTGTTGTCATCACCGCCTCGCGCGCTCTGGTGTCACTGCCCCATCGTTACTGACTTCTCTCGTCGGTAGTCACCACCACCCGATGCAGCCTGCTGGCGCCGTTTCCCCGCGTGGTCTGGTGTCGACACTGCCCATGTGGACCGGTGTCATTTCTGCCCCGCGCGATCTCCCGTCACCACTGTGCTGTTCAGTATGGTGTCGCCGCTGCCCCGTCTGACGTGTTCGCCCCGCCTCTCCACGTGGCTTGATGTCGGCGCTGTCCTGTGCGGTCTGGTGCTATCACCGTCTCATGTGGTTTGTTGTCACCACGGCTGCGTATGGTCTGGTACGCGCGAGGTCGTGTACGGTCTGCCGTCACCACTGCCCCATGTCTGCCGTCACACCAGCGCCCGTCGTCCCGCAGTCGGCGCCTCTCAGCATCGCGCGCGCCGCCGCCTGTGTGGCCGTGGTGAAGCCGGTGGTGCCGGCCGCCGTGAGCGAGCTGCTGGCCGAGATGCCGGTGGCCTCCGCCGACCGGGACACGTCCGATGAGGACGACCAGGACAAGCAAGCAGGGTGAGGACGCGTGAGGACGAGCAGGGAAGCGGGGCAAGCATGCCCGCGTCCGCTGGAGGTTGCGGACGCTGTCGCCTTTTTATCCCATAAACTCGCATCGGTGGAGCGATGCCGTGCGCTCGGACTGAGGCGTCGGTGTCGCCACACTGCTGTCGGCCTTCCAGCTGTCGGTGGGTCCGGACGGCCCGTTCCGGTGCGTGGCGTCCGCACAGTCGCTCGGCGTAGATAGCTTTGTTCGGGCCGCCACAGATAGTGTCGCCAAGGAAATTAGATTATTTTTAGAATGGTTTCAGGGTAATTATCATGTCAGACGTCACCTGGATATCTGGCCTGCGTGACTTCCTGTCAGGAGAACGGCCGCGCGCAAGACTGTGATGTAAGCTCACTGTCATCTGTCGTCACAATCTATTTTTATAAGTCAATTATTGATGTGCTTGCGAAATATCGAAAGTTTGCCCATCATCAAGCACTTCATATATCGCGTGAACGTGTTTGTCACATCGTGACCGGCCTGGTGTACGTGTATTTTATACGGTGTTCGTTTCGTTTGGTGCGTTCCTGCGGACGGTGCATTTTGTTTGGTTTCAGTTAGGTTGTGTTGGATCTGGGCTGTGTGATAGCACCCAGCTGTGATCAGTGGAGATGTTTTGCGGTGTTCGGGAAGTGGTAATCTTTATCTTTTTCCCAGCACGCAAAGCGTTAAAGTTATTCAGTTTTGTATTATATTCCAATATAGTTCGACCATATTTTTCGTGTCATGAACCGACGATCGCGCAGAATCTTCGAAAGTTTCTGGACGCTTTTTGGAGCACGAGTACTGGAGTAAGCAGATTCCCCGTGTTGGCAGACTTGGACCAGTTTCATGTTTGTTCCAGATGAGCCCCATGTGCGTTCTTTGCCGTCCGAAACAGTGCAATGTTCGCGAGCTTACTGAGACAGGATGCAGGCCTTGGAAAAGAACCTTCCGAGACAGCAGATTACAATAATCTGAGCCCCTGAACCCCTGCCAGAACTGGTCTGGCCGGCCTCCAAGCGGGCCGGAATATGGGCGATTTCATCATGGCGGAGGGGAGGGAGATGGGACGTTCGCTGGAGCATTCACACCTCAGCAGTCTGGCCGCTCTCCCCCTCCCTCTCTCTGCGTCCGCTCGGATTGCTTAACTTGGCCTGTCAGTCGTCTGTTCCGTTCTGATGCTCACGCGTTTGTGTCCAGCACCACGCGGCCAATCTGCCCACCGCTGACATATCATTGAGATCTCAGTGTACAGGAGGCAAACACTGCGTGTACGCGACAATGGTTCGGGGGGGGGGGGGGGGGAGCAGTCCGGCCGTCCTCTGTCCAGAATGACCGGGGACTGTGCACTGATGCCGGCTGGAGGCGGCACGTAGGCGGTTTCGGGCTGGTCTAGCGGACGGGCGGGGTCGAGTTATTCATGCCCCTCGTGGACAGCTGGACGCATGTGTAGGCGTGCCGCGTGTTCGGGACGCCACTGCAGGATATATACCGGCTCGAAATCTTCACCAGCCTGTCTTGCCAGACCGTGCCCATGTCCGAGTGCCCTGCAAAGGCGCCCGTACCGTAACGTGGTGAATGTATCGCGGGTCCTCCACTACGCAAGCGAGACTCGTACGCTTAAACGACGGAACGTAACTCATCTTGCACGTCCGTCGTCGTCGAGTCCGTCGTTGAGTTCGTCGTCGAGCTGGGCTGCCGGCGGCTGGGAATACGCAAGTATGACGACAGGCAGATTGACTTTATGACAGGATGGTAGTGAATAACTGTAAAGGATGGTTTTGAATCATTTAGTGAACCATGATTTTGCATTGGAAGACAACAGGGCCAAACTAATTTTCTATCCACAACTGGAAGACGAATGTCAGGTTTTAACAAAGTCGGGTTCTCCTTCTCCCCCTCTTCCCTTCCGCCCCCCGCCCCTTGCACACGGCCATACGAGCACGACGTCATTCGTCAGTTTTCTTCTTTTTCGGAGCGACTTCCATCTCGGGTAATACAGATAAAACGTTTTATTGACCTTGTTAGCGTCATAACAGGCATAGCTGTATGTGTCCCACACCTGTGAAATAATGTCATAGTATCATTAGCCCCGACGTCACCGCCCGCAGCGAGACGTGCAGCATGCGCAAAGCCCACTTAATACCATAAACGACATAGACAAACGGTTATAGTGGTTAGGATTCTAGACCAGCGCGTGTGAGCTTAGGCATGTTTCTTCGCACACAAGCATGCTCACAGGCCGCAGGTGAAGCTTCGCGGTCAGCAGTGTAATGACGCTGGTGTGATATTCCCGGGTCCATGACGTCAGCTGTGACGTCTGACCGCTTTCAGGCCGCGGCGCCAGCCATGACAGGACAGGAGCGATTCCGCACGGGAAATGACATAGATTAGCGTCGACACGACCGCGGCCATAGCCGTGTCCAGGCTGAGGTGGGGGGGGGGGGGGGGTGCGAGATCATGACCATCCAAGAAGGGGAGGGGAACGATCACTGAAGTGCCATGAAACCGGTTCGAAACCCGGTGATGAATGAAGCGTTACAGCGCTCCGACAGTGGCTCGCACTGAAATAGGCCCACCAAATACTAACGCTAGCCCGCCCCTGGAGCGAGTCGACCAGCAGATGGCCGGCCCTGGTCGGACGCGCGGCTCGCGTGTCGGGCAGGTCACATATTGCATTGTGCGGTCTTGGCGTCGATTGCATTGCAGTTTGGTTTGGCGGCGGCCCGGTCGAGGTTTGGCGGCGAAGCCTCACTTGGCCCAGCCCATGGCGGCCACCAGACGGTGGTCCTCGCCGGCCTGCTCGCGCGACACGGGCCGGAGGCGGCGCCGCACCCACTCCGGCATCGAGTCCTGGGGACAGCGAGATACAGAATCACTGTCTACACTCCGGCATCGAGTCCTGGGGACAGCGAGACAAGAAATCACTGTCTACACCCCGGCATCGAGTCCTGGGGACAGCGAGATACGGAATCACTGTCTACACCCCGGCATCGAGTCCTGGCGACAGCGAGATACGGAATCACTGTCTATACCCCGGCATCGAGTCCTGGCGACAGCGAGATACGGAATCACTGTCTACACTCCAGCACCGAGTCCTGGGGACAGCCAGATACGGAATCACTGTTTACACTCCAGCATCGAGTCCTGGGGACAGCGAGATACGGAATCACTGTCTACACTCCAGCATCGAGTCCTGGGGACAGCCAGATACGGAATCACTGTCTACACTCCAGCATCGAGTCCTGGGGACAGCCAGATACGGAATCACTGTTTACACTCCGGCATCGTGTCCTGGGGGCAGCGAGACACGGAATCACTGTCTGCACTCCGGCATCGAGTACTGAGGACAGCGAGATACGGAATCACTGTCTACACTCCGGCATCGAGTCCTGGGGACAGCGGGATACGGAATCACTGTCTACACTCCGGCATCGAGTCCTGGGGACAGCGAGATACGGAATCACTGTCTACACTCCGGCATCGAGTCCTGGGGACAGCGAGATACGGAATCACTGTCTACACTCCGGCATCGAGTCCCTGGGGACAGCGAGATACGGAATCACTGTCTACACTCCGGCATCGAGTCCTGGGGACAGTGAGATACGGAATCACCGTCTACACTCCAGCATCGAGCCCTGAGAACGGGGAAAACAGGATCACGATGTGCACTATGACTTTGTGTCGTGGGGACCAACGGGTTATGCCGGACCCAGCGCTCTGTGCTCCGAGGACAGGTTGCGCAGGCTCCAGCGAGGACAGGTTACGCGGGACGGAGCACACCTTACCCCGAGGACGGGTTACGCGGGACGGAGCACACCGTACCCCGAGGACGGGTTACGCGGGACGGAGCACACCGTACCCCGAGGACGGGTTACGCGGGACGGAGCACACCGTACCCCGAGGACAGGTTACGCGGGACGGAGCACACGGTACCCCGAGGACGGGTTACGCGGGACGGAGCACACGTACCCGAGGACGGGTTACGCGCTGACGGAGCGCACCGTACCCCCGATGACAGGTTACGCGGGACGGAGCACACCGTACCCCGGGGACGGGTTACGCGGGACGGAAGCACACCCGTACCCCGAGGACGGGTTATTACGCGGGGACGGAGCACACGGTACCCCGAGGACGGGTTACGCGGGACGGAGCACCACGGTACCCCGAGGACGGGTGGTCCGCGGGACGGAGCGCACCGTACCCCGAGGACGGGTTACGCGGGACGGAGCATACTACCGTACCCCGAGGACGGGTTACGCGGGACGGAGCACACCGTACCCCGAGGACGGGTTACGCGTGACGGAGCGCACCGTACCCCGAGGACGGTGTTACGCGGGACGGAGCGCACCGTACCCCGAGGACGGGTTACGCGGGACGGAGCACAGTACCCGAGGACGGGTTACGCGGGACGGAGCGCACCGTACCCCGAGGACGGGTTACGCGGGACGGAGCACACGTACCCCGAGGACGGGTTACGCGGGACGGAGCACACCGTACCCCGAGGACGGGTTACGCGGGACGGAGCGCACCGTACCCCGAGGACGGGTTACGCGGGACGGAGCGCACCGTACCCCGAGGACGGGTTACGCGGGACGGAGCACCGTACCCCGAGGACGGGTTACGCGGGACGGAGCACACCGTACCCCGAGGACGGGTTACGCGGGACGGAGCGCACCGTACCCCGAGGACGGATTACGCGGGACGGAGCGCACCGTACCCCGAGGACGGGTTACGCGGGACGGAGCACACCGTACCCCGAGGACGGGTTACGCGGGACGGAGCACACGGTACCCCGAGGACGGGTTACGCGGGACGGAGCACACCGTACCCCGAGGACGGGTTACGCGGGACGGAGCGCACCGTACCCCGAGGCCGGTTACGCGGGACGGAGCACACCGTACCCCGAGGACGGGTTACGCGGGACGGAGCACACCGTACCCCGAGGACGGGTTACGCGGGACGGAGCGCACCGTACCCCGAGGACGGGTTACGCGGGACGGAGCACATGGTACCCCGAGGACGGGTTACGCGGGACGGAGCGCACCGTACCCCGAGGACGGGTTACGCGGGACGGAGCACACCGTACCCCGAGGACGGGTTACGCGGGACGGAGCACACGGTACCCCGAGGACGGGTTACGCGGGACGGAGCGCACCGTACCCCGAGGACGGGTTACGCGGGACGGAGCACACCGTACCCCGAGGACGGGTTACGCGGGACGGAGCGCACCGTACCCCGAGGACGGGTTACGCGGGACGGAGCGCACCGTACCCCGAGGACGGGTTACGCGGGACGGAACGCACCGTACCCCGAGGACGGGTTACGCGGGACGGAGCGCACCGTACCCCGAGGACGGGTTCTACGGGATCATTGTTACCGTTCCGGTATCTTGTTCTGACGGCGCATAACACGAGATCATTACGTACATGCCAGCAATGTGTGTGATTGGAGCCTTACGACGCATTCGGTGGCTGGGGCTATATGGTGTTTGCCTCTCACCCTGGCAGGAAGGGCGGGCACCACACATGCAGCATCGTAGCCTGGGCACGGGTTTGTCTGCCATTGCGTTTGATGTAGTCAGGCCCCAACTGATCTTTGGCAGATTTAAATATTTTGTTGTGTTTTAACCTAAAACACGGCACCAAAGCACGGATGGACTACAGTAATACTTCAAGCACAGCTACACCCATGGCTCTCGAGACAAACAATCTAGCACCGCTATCTACACCCTG